GAAGGGGCAGGGGCGGCTGCGCTCTGTGGAGCGGGGTGGCTCTGGGGGGTCCCAGCTGCAGTCACAGCCCCCATGGTCTCCTGCACACCCACACGAAGGGTCCATCACTGCCCCTCTGCAGCCCCCAGCCCCACTGTGTCCATGTGCTCCTTCTGCACACATGGACAGAAACAAATGTGTGTGTTGTGTGTGTGTGTGTGTGAACGTGTAGACAGGTAGGTTGTAATTTTTACCTGGGTGCATATACCCATACCTATATGTACATATATCTCCATGATCTACATACATATGTACGTGTACAGCTCCACAGCCATACGTAGATGTTTGTGGATCTGTACATGTGCACATTGGGCATTGTTCATAGAACTGTATTTTTTAGAGGGGTGTGTGTTCATATGCACCCTTACACAAGCACACACAGGCAATAGGTATTGAAATATAGGTAGGACTGTACCTGTGCAGGTGTGTCTGTATACACATCTGTATATTTTTATACATGCATATGCAATGTATTTGTAATTTTAATACATGTGTGCTCCTATGTGTGCTTAGGTACAGGAGTGTGTGCAGACATAGGTATGGGCAGATAGACGTATAGGTATGGACATACAGACATGTTTACATAGGTGTATTTACACAGACATTATCTCTGTGTATGTACACATGTAAATACATGTTTGTAATTTATAGATGTGTATATATACACACATAACACACATAGAGATATATATCTACATAGATGTATCTATATGGATGTGTAGGTATATAGGTCTATGTGTATATATACACACATGTGCATTCATAATTTTTATATATTTATACACAAGTGGTAATATGGATACAGATGGAGATGTATAGATACAGCTACACATACAGAGTATACATATGTGTATGCACAGATACACATATATATTTGATTTTATACATATATGAGTATATATATGTTTATATATGCATACAAACATCTGTGTAGTTCTGTAGATATCAATAGATACATATAGATATATATGTAAAGATGTGTAGGTAAATGATCATATGTAAAGGGGATGTGTGTGTGTGTGGTTGTGCATAGCCCCCTGAAACACACCTGGATGGACAGATGTGTGAGGGGGTTCATGTATCCTGAGACTCCTGTGTGCGTGTGCATGGAGCTAGAGTTTTGTACATAAATTTACATAAACTTGAATGTTTATGTGGGTATATGGGGTCACGTGTGTGTGTTTGCACAGAGGGCTCAGAGATTTTCTCCAGCTATAGCCAAATTACAGATATGTAGATGTATATATAGGTGTATGTTAACAGGTATAGAGCTAGGTATTGATATCTGCACGTATACATGAATATATACATATATCTGTATATATAAACATTTATGTACATATCTATTTGTGGTTTTCATATATGTGTGCATATAGACACATACATGGATGTGTATATATCCATGTATCTACATATATGGATATTTCCATGTAGCTATATGGACACATGTCTATACACAAATACACATGTCTACATTTGCATGTTGGCATACGTATTATGTGTGTAACTTTTATGGATGTGTATGTACAGCTCCATTCGTAGACTGAGAGATACAAAGAGGTGTTGATACCTGTTGGGATGGGTGTAGCTGTAGGGGCAGAGGTAGAGCTACAGCTCCACAGGCAGCTGTAGGGAGGTGTGTGTATGTGTGTAGCTGCAGCTGTGTGGGTTGTGGGTGCTGTGTTCTATGCACACACACTGCTTGTGGCTGTGCACATGGGTGTGCAAGTGTTCAGGGGTGTGTCTGGGTGTCTGCACACGTGCTCGCACGCTCAGGCACACTCACACGCCCCCAGTCCTGTGCTCAGCCCAGGTGTGGGGTGGGTACCCCCCCCTCCATCACCACCCCATCCCACCCCTGCCCGTGGGACCACAGCCCCAGGGTGCTGGGGTGACGCCAGCACGGGCGCAAGGTAGGGCAGAGGCGAGGGGCCGGGCGCAGCCTGGGGAACAGCTTCGTGTTGTTGGCTTGGTGGGTGTACAGTACCCACCCCCGCCCGCCCCGCGCCCG